TTTTAAGGTAGTGTTGACATGGTAGACTGATTCGAAAAATTTCGGGGACAGCAAATAGTATTTGTTACAAAAAGGATAATTTAGCTTTTTCTATATTTCTTGCAGATGGTGGAGTTATAGTTAGGTTTCACTGCGTGCCATATCATATGTGTGTAGGATGGACGTGCACAGCGCTAATACGCAAAACTTGATTGCTGGCTGGACGTTTTTTCTGGTAGACAACAAAAGACTAATGTGCTAAATGCGCTAAATAGTTTTCATATGCTGCTGTATTCTGACTGACTAAGACGAAAAACAATAGACGAGAGACCGAGAGACTAAACGAAACGCTTCACCATGCATGTCGATGTGAACTGTTGGCTATAGTTTTTCCTTTTTTCCCCATGGGTGCGCGGAAGTGTCGTGGGTTTCAATGGGTTTCAATGTCACAAAAGTCATCCGTTCAAAAGGCAATAAAGGACAGATGTTTCATTGTTGACTGCAATGTTCTATGTTTACGGTTGCTCCGCTTTTCACCCCTTGGCCCTTTGCCATGGCGCGCAGAGAGCGGCGCGCCAAGCGGATGGCAGATTGGTATGGACTTGCCGTGGAAGGCCTATACCCGGGTTTGACGGCGAATCGAGTCCTTCCGGGCATGTCCAAAAAGTAGTTGTGAGCCATATGGGAGATGATCGAAAACCCAGCGTAAGGAGTTTAATATAAAACAGCCTTTTAGATGTTGTTAAAACCCTCCGCGAAAGCTTCGCGATGAGGTTCGCGAAAGTACATGTTTTTCGCGAAAGATTTATCGAAGGTTCTGGTTTTAATATTGGTTCTCCTTTTATGGCCCACTGGATAAAAAGCTTCTACGTAGAACTTTACTTGGTTTCAGTTTGTTTTGGGATGTCAATGTGTAGTGTAGCGTATGTTTGTGGGATTCCTGTATTATGTGTCATAGATCACAGATGTGTATAGTTGTCAGAGGCATTTGTGCTTGAAGCAATCTAGCCACAGAGATGGCGCCAAATACAGCCAAAGTGCAATCACCTGGCTGAGCCAGTTTGAGCCAATGGGGAAATCATTAATGATTTTTCGCGAAAGATCCGCGAAAGTTTCACGAATGTGCCGATAAAGTTCTGCCTACCAAACTTGACCCCACCCCCATACCCCAACGACCTGGAATAGGGATGTGGGGCTGCTGGTCTGTCAGCTTTGGATGACGGCTGTATCAAAGTGGTGCAGGATCTCTTCTTCCGCCCACCGTATCTCTATATATAAATATACATGACTCTCTGACTCACCCAAAACATGTTAAGTAACCAACCTCTCTTGAGGAACATGCTTCGCGATGAGGTCGCGAAAGATCCGCGAAAGATATCTGCTTTTTCGCGATGAATGGCCATTCCAGGATGAAAGAATATTGATCAAACATCATATGTTGTAGACAAGAAGGTACAGCGGAACATTATATGGCATATTCATACCCAAAGATGCGCCACCGGCATGACAGGTGAGCGCGGCGCTGCGGCAAAGAAGCAGTGTGTTGCGCGAGCCGAAGAGGCCCGGCTCTCATGCTGAGCGTTCAGCTGTGCGCAAGGGTACGGATTGAAATAGGACAGAACAAACTACACAGTGCACATTCTGAGAACAGTTAGCACAGCAACGACGCCACGACATGTGTCATGAGGGAACTTTACGAAATCTTCATGGCTGCAGGTCGCTGAGAAGCTTCCTCCAGGCGGATTACGCCGAAGCGCTCCGCGCCGTTTTTTTCGAATCATGTTTGATTGTCGTGATGCGAGACACTTCGGCTATTAGTGAATGAGTGACACAAACGCATTAGCCGTTGACAAGTTGACACATTGACAAGTGATCTACCAATCACAGATCATCGCCAGGTCGGTTTGCCTATAGGCTGCATTAGGTTTTCCTTGATCCGATTGAATGCGGAAAGCTTGGCACAGGAGCTGCGAAAGGTCTGCAAAATGCAGCACCTTCAGGTGAGGAGTGGGGAGACGGTCGATGACAGGGCCACTACCCATATCAAGAGGTGTTTTCCTCACATAAACACTAAAATCAATTTACTGCTTAGTTCCTTACTTTTCACATACCATGGCATGGCTTCTTCAGTTGTCTCCTGGAAACGAATGGGAAAGTTTCTCGGATCGACTGTCTTTTCGTGGCTCAGGCCCGGAAGGCATTGATCCAATAACCATGGAGCGGCTTCTGTGGGGATCTGAAGTGAAACATAGAGACTGACAGTGAAGCACTTCAAGAAACATACCCTGTGAACTTTAATCCAATTTGATTCTCAGAGATTAGATTTTGGTCGAGGGCAGTCGGTGAGTTGTAATACAGCGTCCATCCAGATGGTCCCCCCTTAATTTCTATGATAGACTTCCATGCAGATGGTCGCCCCTTGAACCAAAAGCAATGTTTCGGTGGATTGTGAACGTCCGCTTTCGATCTTCCCGGTCGGATGGATATGTGGTCGTCACTGAGGAGCCAGGTGCAAAAAGGTGGTCCTTCGGTACAAAACGAAGCGCTCGTCGCAGTGACAGGCCACTGGAACGGCGTAGAGTTATGAAGACACAGATGTAATGATATTTGAGATGTATAGAAGGTATCAGACTTTTCTTTTTTCACATGTTCTCCAGAGAGCTGGTTGAAAGGTTTTGATCAGAATCCTTTTGATGAAGGACTTCTTTTGACAGACTTGGAAGTGCATTGTTTGTTTTGTGTTTTTAACCATCGGATGTTTGCGATGTCCCAGGCCTTCCGCCACAGCATGCGGCAAAGCTCTTGGAGTTTGCCCTTGAGAAGTCCAAGGACACCCGCTTCGTCGAATCGGGGATCTGGCGAGGTGGAGGTGAAGAGTCGAAGCAGAACAGTAAGCTTAGATAAAGGATCTTAGCCAAGTATCATTGTCCTGCGAAGGTCTGCGGAGTGTGAAGAAGAGTAAACACAACAAAAGCAAACAAACTCTTCAAAAGCCATGCAAACTGTCAAAGCATCAACAATATACGTGCTATTCATGCTTATTCTTTTTTGTAAGTCATGGTATGTGGTTGCCCCATCCAGGAGCTACGGGACCCGTCGATGTATATGGTGTCCACGGTGGCAAGGCCAGTGCGTCGTTGGGGAGACAATGCTTTCGTGACCCGTCGGATTGTATTCCGGGTGCAGAAAGGTGAGTCGGGCGACGAAATCCATACTCCGGTGGTGTAGGACGCCGCTCCAAAGAGAAACTAGAACTATGGTGCCGAGCGAACATAGAAACATATGATTTGTTGAGCTTACGAAAGCTGATGCTTCAACAAAAACGTACATAGGTTTGTGCTCTGGCTTGTGTTTTGCGCTTGTTAGTTTCACAATCCATGTGGAGCAGAGTCTGATTCTAGCCACCAAAAAGAACATGTATTGCTTTGCAAGAGTGGCTCTTTCTTTACAGTTTACCTGCGTAGACCATTTACATCCGCACCACCTGGCAGGGGCTTCAAGCCCAGATGGCACGCCAGGGTCTCAGATTTGGCAGAATTGCGGGCAAGTTACGGAGTTGCAGGAACTTTTGTTTAACGCTCAAATCAACATATTTCTGGCGGCCCGACATGGACAAACAATTCAATCAATGCGCCCTGGGCGTTTCAGAGTTGCACGCTGAGGAAATGGTGGAGGCCTCTGTCCCTTCCAAAGGATGGTTCGACGCGTTGCAAAGACGCAAGGATGATTGGCATGCGAAAATGACGGAGACATTCTTTTAACTCTTTCAACCGTATGATCACGTGGCTTTTGGGAGCCTCATTTGTTTTGGCACGAAGCCACTCATGAATTGAATTCACCAAACACTATGTTCATATCTGCGCGGGAATCAATCCGGTTGATGGTTATCGAAAAGATTTTTCAATCGGTACCTTTGTGAGGAAAAGGCGTACAACTTGAGCTGGCGCAAGATCGAAAGCCGCAGCCTGGCTTGAACGCAAAAGCGGCCGTACTCTTTTGAAAAGCGTAACAAGCTTTTGAACGTCATGCCAACCGTTCTAGGCTTCGGGAACCATCAGCCATCAGCGCTTGTATCCAAGGCACAAAGCCAGGAGTGTTCTACTGGGAGAATTTTCACACAGGCCAGAGATCAGTGGACGACGCTTTGGCTGATTCATTAGTTGCAACGCATGCTTCCCAATATACATGTGCAATAATTGAACAATGAAAAACAATGAGAAACCGATCTAAGGACCCGCGACGTCCGGTTTCTCCTTCCCCTGTGCGTGGTGGCATGGGCAAATGAGACCTGTGCGCGCTAGTGAGAAATGTGCCGGTGCTTTTCATCCGCAACGAAATGTTACCAAAAGGTCCCTGCCACATTATATACATATCCAAATGTATATGTTTTCACATAAACATATATGTATATATATATATAGGCACACGCATACATATATATATATACACACATATATACGACATGAGGAGTGACATGAGGCTTGTCCTCGGGGTTAATCAATGGGCAGCCTAGGGTGTTCTCCTCTACTCCGGCGCCAGGTACCATTCCCAGATACGACTAATGGGGACTGCCATATATGCCGCCCCATTGAAACCTGATCGGCAGTCCTATGGCATGCATGGAGTGTTTGTGATTGATTGAATCGCACCATCCGCGCGAGACGCCCCTAAGGGACGATGATCCAATGAGTCCTGGAAGGCTAAGATGGACCCCGAACACCCTGAGCTTTTGAGGAAAACAACCTTCCCTGGGCCATTGTCATGAGGTGTTTGCGTTTTCAGAGGGCTTTCCTCATGGTACAGTACTTCATCCCTACGTTTTCCTCACTGATGGATGGTCAAGGACCTTAAGGATCGTGAGGATATCATGGCTCAGCAGGAACGAAAAACAACACCACCACACCAGGCAGTCCATTTCCATCCCTCCCCAACTTTTCATATGTTTCTCCACCCATAGTACTTCATCGCTAGGTCGGCGTTTCCACGCCGTCCTCCCTTCTCTCCCTTCTCCGCCCGTGCAGGACAGCATGCTGCACCAAGTCTCCAGCCGTGTCTCGACTCCCGCAGCTCCTTGGCGCGCGGATCCCGCCAGCCGCGCGACCGTCGGCGGCGGAAGATGGTTTGGGTCGTCCCCAAATAGGGCAGGTACGGTACCGTGGTGGTGGATTTGGGCAAGACACTGGTGCGGCGGCAAAGGGGGTTCCAATGGCGGGGCCAAGCTTTTACGTCTTTTTTTGCTGGTGGAGAGGTTGGAAACTCTGGCAGTTCGTCGGGCCCGAATCACCTCTAAGAGGCTATATAATGCGGTCCCTGGTAGGGGAGTAGTTTGGGTGAGAGCCTTATCGGTGGAGGATGGTGGAGTCAATTTATAGAGTTCACAGCTTTTCGTTACCACGATGGTCGGAGAATGCTCGGTGTCCGCCCGTGGGCGAAGCGGGTCGCAGCACCCGATAGGATTTGGTGTGTTTATTTGAGCCTGAAGCACCACCTGGAGCCTGGAGGAATGACACTCCATCGCGGGAAACATCAAGCATCCGCACAACATGTTGGCTTCTCAAGGTGCGAAAGGCAGCTATGCCGGTGATCCAGATGGCCAGCAACAGCGAGGCACAGCTGGGAACGAAACGGATGTGCATGGCCTTGAGTGTCATGTCCACGACATGGAGGCGCCTCCAACCCCAAAAATCCACGGGACGATCCGGGACTGGAATCATTGCCTACACCCGGTCCGGCTTCCGTTCGACCATTCAAGTAAAGGTTGACCTGGTTGTGTAGTGTAAAATCCTTAGTAAAACAGCTGGTGCTTCGGGAGTCAGGCCATTCAAACAATGGTTGGCCAGGAAGCGTAGGGTACATGGGGGGTGGTTTCTAAGATGTTTTAAGCCTTGGCTGATCGGCCATGGAGTTCTGCATGTTCCCGAGCGGGGTGTGTTTTGCATGTCTTTGCCCCTTGAACGGGGCGATGATCGGTTTCTTCGTCTTCCAAGACCATGCAGGGGGAATGTACCAAGACCACCCATTGGACTAGGCTGCTTAGGGATTTGCATGGGGGCCATCCTGGGGATTCGGGGCGATGCCCTTTTTCCAAGGGAACGACCATCGATCCACACCTGGCGGCCTCAAGTATAGAAGTGACAGCGCACCCGTGACACGGGCATTTGGCCTACACGATCCACACCAACAAGGAGAAAAGAGAAGGCGACCTGATCAACAAAAGACACGTTCCAAGCTCCTTTTTTGCTGTTGTTTTTTAATGGATTCTAAACGAGGCTCATAGAAGACAGACAAGACCCAGCAAAATCCTGGCAGATGTTTACACTGAGTTCCTATATACTATATATGTTGTTTAATTATCTTGCAGTATCTTGAAAGTGCTCAAGAACATAATAATCTAAGCTTTGTTTTCCAGAGTAGCCCTTCCCATCAAGGGTTCCTTCCCCTCGCTGGGAGCGACATGGACAAAAACGGTGGGCCAAAGCCTCACTCTAAGCATCTCCAAGCAGGTTGATGACTGCCAGTGTCAAATAAGCCGCATCCCTGCCTCCATGCTTTGCATTACAAGTTCTCAAAGTAGACATTCGATCCGCGTCGTCCGTCGACCCTGCCTTGTGCTTGTTCATTTCCCCCACCAACAGAAATCAAAGAAGAAAAGCACCAGACTTCCCCCCCCCCCGCCTTCGGCCTCCACGCTTTCACCAGGCAAGCGGCACGAGCTCAGTGGGGAAAAGCCCTGGCTCGGGCTCCAACTCGTTGTCCTCCTGGGCAGCGGAGGACAACCCGTGCCCCGGCGAACACGGAAAAAACCCCGGCCAACATCAGTCAGGGAAACAGGATTCAATGCTTCCGCCCGGAAGGATAGGAAATGATGGAAATGTCGGACACTGTGGAAGGCTACTTTCGATGACACACACTGTATTTTGCACTGGCTGCCAGGCCATATGTGTTTCTTTCAGTGTCGTATCACTCCACCTGTGCCGTATAGACTTCACCACCGCACTAGATTTGACCACTTCTCAAACCGTCATGCGAAGAACCGTGCAGAGGCCGGCTGCTTTCGGGACAGAGCTTGAATCAATCAACGGGGTTTCATCATGGTATCATGTCCCAAACACTCCATCTATGCCGCCATAGGACTGCCGCCCCAGACCCCTGTGGCACCACCCCTGGCCATTTCTCGGCAGTCCGACATGACAGACCCAGACAGGTCGTGTTTGGGTGTGGGTAATGTAGATAGACTCTTGATTAATAACCCCACCACTTGAAAGTGGAACATCCTCTTCATATGGGGGGTTTATTCATCAAGAGTCTACATGATCATCGTCCCTTAGGGGCTTCCTTGAGCGTACTGTACCCGACGGTGGCGACCCGAGTCGCGAGTCGCTGGTAGTAGTGAAAAAAAGCGGTTTCAAGTTCGAGATGGCGCCACCCAACGTTGGGATGGGGGTCCATATCAACCACCTAACTTGGGGATGGTGCCATCTACTCTCCATCAACTATAAACTCTAAGGGGATGTGACACGCATATAGAACTATATACTATATAAATATCAATGTATCCTTTAAATGCCTGCCTACTACTTAGAACAGTATTTTTGCAACCTGCGGATGTTAGGTTTTATGAGCCGCTTTCATCTTGTCCCCCAGGCGGAAGAGCACCAGCAAGAGGAGCAACCGGAGTGGCAAGAAGAAACCGACGCTCTTCAGCCGCTTGACCCGCTAGACCCGGGGGGCGCACGGTGTAACATGGCAGCTCGCATGGCCTCGGATTCACCGATGTCAACAGTACACGATGACCTCCCTTGGGGTGTTTGGTACTGTATTGACCCCGTATACATATATACTATACAGTAGTTGTAGTGTCGTAGAGGTCAAGGGATGCCCATCAACCCCGCCCTCCCTCCTCGCAAATAAATATGAACACCTGCTTGAGCCAGGGGTGCGGCCTGAAGTCTTCTTTGATCCATTGACCGACGAGCTGGGGACTGCCCCGAAATTTCAATGCATTTCACCAGGACATGTCAGGTCATACATGAGTCATAAGGTCATACATGAGTCATAAGGTCATACTATCCAGTTCCGATGATTTGTTCAGGACCAGCTGGACCAACATGTCAGTGATGTCAATGCGCAGGTTCATGCGATTGATATCAGGATGTATCAGGTCAAAATATGGTCGGCATGGATAGATGACAACTTTTAGAACATGGATGGAACAGGAACACATAGAAGCGCTGGGAAATGATAAGCATTTACGGATGAAGCTGAATGGACTATGTTGGAACCAAGCATCCGAGGGGGTGGTGATTGGAGGTCCACTGAATGGGTCTGACATCTCGGAGCTTCTAGAGCTTGAGATATTTGCCATGCTTCAGCACTGGCGCTGCCACATAAATTCACCTGTCAATGGGACCAAATGCATCGTCCCTTCCTTGAACTACTTTCTTGTAGTTGATGTTCATCTTCTCAGGCGGTCTAAAACAGAAAGGGGAGGTTTCTCCTTACTTCAAGACACCCCCAGTCAGGTCTTGGCTGACCGATCACCGGTGCAACGGCTGGTCGATACCGTCGTCCAGGCACCTTCACCCAGTTCGACCTTGGGAAGAAGGCGACGGCCATGAATGCCGACGCCTGGCAGGTTGGACATGAGAAACCCGAGCACCAAGACTGAGTGAGACTGGATTATGACAATCACGAATCATACACCCCACTGAAGACCAACATGGACCCTGAACAAAAGCCACTGGTTTGTAGAGGATTACATTATTTCAGGGTGCCATTGTCAGGGTCCGTGTTAGTTTTGGTAGTGTAGTGGAGTCCATGGGTTGTGCCCTCACAAAGGCAGACTTTGCAGGGGGTCCAGCCCATCTAAGGCCCATTGTTTTGTTTTTGTTGTTGTTGCTGGTCCAACATAATGCTACATACATTGTTTCACAGCATTGACATGCTTGCCATGAAGTATCATGAAATTGTGGTAAGAGAAGCCGCAGGTGCATTTCATGACTTCTATGTGTGGTACGGTGGGTGAGTTCGTCTTTCTTTTGGCCATTGTCACTTTTGTATCCCTTGTGGGCTGCTGGTGAAACACCGTGACACCCCCAGAACTCCTCTAAAAGATTCTAAAAGCAGCAACCAGTACGCCAACCTTCCCTGGACGTACGACGCATTCTACTCGCACGTACTTGACGTCTCCGCGGTGGAGACGCCTTCGCCAAGGAAGAGACTTATGCCTCCGAAGACCCGGCATCGATGGAGTTCAAGGAGCGGTGCCCTGTGGACCACCGGTTCCGGTCGTGCGGGTCGTGCGGGTCGTTGATTCCACGAGTTCGGGAGTGGATGAGACATGCCGAAGGGCAGCTTTGCATGGTCTGAGTCGAGGATCGCTTTTGGGGGTGCAAAAAGCCGCGTAAATCAAAGCATACCACATACAACTTGAGAAACTTGTTCTTGTTTAATACATACTTAGATCTCAAAAAACACTTTGGATTTCAGCCCAGAAGTTTGCCTATTGTGATTTCTGGACAGCATGGACCTAGCATTCATGACATGTGACGCATGGACTCCACACAGGGAACACCAGCACGTTCGTCGTTACCGCAAGGGCGGGATCAAAGAGCCAGAAAAGCATGCTGGCCGGTTGGCCATTGCGCCTTCGCGTCGTCGGTCGACGCAGTCCGTGTTCGGTTGTGCTACCTTCATGGTAGCGGAGCCCCCAAAGCGGGGCTCCTCGATTCGCCATGGTTGAATCTGCTGCAGTCCCGACCTGGAGTGGGGACCCTTCGGAGTTTGAAAGCTTCGTGATAGCGTGCCGCTGGTTTGAAAAGTCGCTCAAGCCGAGCGAGAGAACCCAAGCTGCACCGAAGATTTGGGCTCGCTTGACTGGACCTGCGAAGGCCGTAGTTAAGCACCTAGATCCAGATGAATTTGCATCGGACGAAGGACTTCAGCGTTTGTTGACAGTGTTGAGGACAGCTCCCCTTCAGCAACTCCCAGTTCCTGACAGCTTCAAGCGCCTAGATGTTTGGCATCATTTGAAGAGGGGTCAACAGGAAAGCATTCCAGAACTCCTTGTCAGGGAAGAAGATTTGTTTGTGCAATTGCAACAGGCCCTCAAGCGTGCAAGACAAGACCGCAATTTGTTGTCGCACGCTGACCTTGTTCGAGACCCAGTTGCACGACCTCCGCCTTCAACGCCATCCCAAAGCCCCATCAATCTGACCGGATCTCGGTATGCTGACCGGATCCCGCCAGATACACCGCAGGAGGCACGGGATAGGGCACCTGGTGGTGACGCTTCGACATCAGTTGTTGGTGATTTTTTTGAAGATGAGTTGAGGGGGTACCGCCTCTTGAAGGCGGCAAGATTGTCGACGGCTGAACGTCAAAATGTTTTGACGCAAACAGGCAACTCCACGGCATTCCACATGATCAGAAGAGCATTGAGGACATTGTTTGCCACCGAGGAGGATGCCGAGCAATCACGGGGCTGGACCCGAAAGCAGCAGGTATGGTGGAACGAGGATGCTGGTTACGACCAATCGCATGAGGATCATTGGATTGAAGAATGGCCCTATGACGATTGGTATGGCGATCCAGGGCATGATGAAGAAGCCTACTGGCACGCCTGGCCAGGTCACGATGAGGAGTGGATGGAAGATTCACCTTGGTCAGAATGGCCACCAGATGAGTTGCCAGTTGCAGAAGGTGACGAAGATCCACTTGAACAGCAATATGCTGAGGCCTACACCTTGGCCAACGAGGCCCAAAAGACCTTAGCTGAGGCAAGAGATGCAGTGCGCCGAGTGCGCCAAGCTCGGGGCTACTACGCACCTGAGTCCATGACAGGCAAGGGCAAGACAAAGTCGCCGGCATCAAGCCCTTCCAGTGGAGGCAAGAGCTCATTTTCTGGGAAGAGCGGCTGGGGACCTTGCTTCATTTGCGGCAAGCCAAACCACAGTTACCGTCAGTGCCCTGACCGTTTTGCCAAGGGTCGATCGACTTCGCACAAGGGCTCTGGCAAGGGATTCGGCAAGGGCTTCAAGGGAAAGTCCAAGAAGGGCAAGGGTTTTGGCAAGCCAATTCAGTTTCATTCTTTGACAGTTCCCCTGTTTCCATTGCACGTTTATTTCAAGGAACAAGTGCAGGGCTGTCGTGTGATCATCGATACAGGGGCATCTGAGAATGCCGTCGGCTCCACCGCTCTCCAGCACATGCTTGAAGCATCAGGACTGGACCATGAGGTGACCACGGCAGACCGCCCGGTTTTTCGCTTTGGCAACGGCCTACAAGCTCAGGCCAAGAGCCGTGTTGATCTGAAGGGAACTTCACTGGGCTCGATTTCCTTTTACGTGTTGGGCAATGAGGCTCACCAGACTCCGCCGCTCATGGGCGGAAAGACATTGAGAGAGCTAAAAGCAATGCTGGCCTACGAGCGCAATTTGTTTTTGTATCAAGCACCTCATGAGGAGACATGGTCAGCAGTTCAGATGGCACCGCATGCATCATCACATGTTTCCATTGATTTGTTGGAGAAGGCAGTCGCAACAGATTTGAGTGTTTTTGGTATGAGCAGTGCAAATCAGTCAGTTGTGGAACGTGTTTCTTTGCCACCAACAGTTTTGATGATGTCCACTTCTTGTTTGAGTATGCCATCAACAGCCGACTCCACTAGCACCTTGGCTCGAAGGTTGGAAGATCTTCGGACCCGGATCGCTCGACATGGACAAGGCCAAGCTGCCATGCGCTGTGGACGATCCAAGAGCTCTCAGCAGCTTCCCCTGCTTTGGGGAACACAAGCCCAAGATGAGGCAGAACCAGTACGCCAGCTGGACGACATGTCAGGCGTGCGGCCTGCGGACCAGCTATGTGAGCAAGAAGGACTTCGAGGGCGACTCGAGGCACATGGGCCCGCACCCGCACTTGATCAGTGCAGCTCTGGAGCAACTCCGTCAGACCATGCCGGCAAGTCAGGTGAGCGAGAAGATCGTGAACGGCAAGGTCATGGAGCTCAAGGGCATCCAGTTGCAGCAGGGCCTCACGAACACCCAGGCCATCAATATGACCTTCCCGGAGTACTGCAAGAGGATGGGCATCTCGATGAAGTCAAACCCAACCTCTCCGGCAAGGGAGAAGAGCCCGGCATCTCCGGCTCCAAAGGCCAAGATCCATCCGACGGCAGCGGGACTTCCAATTCCCCAGACGGAGCTCCTGAAGATGGCAGCAGCCAAGTTCCTGGAATCCTTGGACCCAGAGGAGATCAACGAGTTTGTGACGGGCCAGAAGTCCAAGGAAGAGATCTTGGCGTCCCGAAGGAACATCAAGAAGGAGCCCAAGGAGGATGTGGTGTTGGGAGCCATCTCGATCGCATCATCGGAGGAGGAGCCGGAGGAGGTGAAGAATGCACCAGGAGTCGCATCGGGCAACTCTGGTGCTCACTGAGGAGCTTGCGAGAAAGGGCAGCCAGTGTGATGAAGACTGGCCACGACATCATGTGCACTACGCGCACTACGAACACTACGAACGCATCGGCACCTTTGGGTACCACACGACATGGCTCTCCAAAAGAGCACATAGACTGTGCCATCCAGTTTGAATCTGGCATCAGTCCTGGTGGAGGAGATGAGAATGAGGCCGCAAGGGATCTTCCTTTGCCCGGGCCTGGAGGTGGAAAGCGAGCTGGTGTGGCTCCATCAACGGCAAGGAAATTGGCCACCAACATGGCAGTCATCGGTGCCCTCATCACAGCACCTATGCATGGCCTATTTGGCATGATGTCTGATCAGGCCGACTTCTGTGAGGTGGCATGTGCTCCGACTTCCTCTCTGTCGGAATGCATGGCTTCGATGGGCTACAACATCCAGCGCATCAACTACAAGGAAGGCTTTGATTTGGAGAAGAGAGAAGGCACTATGAAGTTTGGTGAACTGATGTCTTCGAAGCCTCCAAGACAGACCTGGGTGAGCCTTCCATGCACCAGATTGACAGGTTTGACCAATCTGACCCAACGTGATGAGTATGAGTGGGCAGCATTTGAGAAAAGGGTGAACCGTGATTTGAAAAGAGCTGATGAGGTGGTGCAAAGTCTGGAACCTGTTCTGGCAAGTGATGGTCATGTGAGCTGGGAGTGGCCCACAGGTGCATCCAAAGGTTGGAGATCCTCCGCAATCAAGCGTCTTCAGCGACTTTGCCAGAAACATCGTAGACCTTTGTTTTGGTGCAAGTTCCACGGATGTGCTTATGGTTTGACCTACAAGGGCTACCCTGTTCAGAAGAGTTGGACTGTCTGCACCACAGATCGAAACATTTGGTTGGCACTTCAAAAGCGATGTCCAGGTCATGATGAACACGTTCATTGCCGGGGCACCGTGGCTCAGGCATCGGCCTATTACCCGGAGAAGATGGTTCAGGCCGTCTGCAAGGCAATCGAGCAGACATGGACTTGGGCAGACAACCAAAGCTCATGGTCTCTGACAAAGGACATCGAAACCTACTTCATTGACCTTCCCAATGGTGCCAACAACCTCACGGCAGAGCATGAGGGCATCCTCATGGAGGAGGAATCAAAGGAGTGGAGATGGTATGAGCAGTTGGCTCGAGAGGAGGACCCGGCCATTTTGGCCATCTCGAAGCGTCGGTTTCCTTCCGAAGCACCAACTGGCAGGAGATTGGAGTTGATCAAGGCTCAAATGCTTCGGGTCCACAAGGCTAGTGGACACACTTCCATGGCCAACCTTCAACGACTTCTACGAGCACGACACGCTCCAGACTGGGCTGTGTGCAGAGTCAAAGCTTCCTGCATCATCACCTGTCGCCTCCCTCAACGAGACGCCAGGACTTCTGGAAGTTGTCGGAAGCGACGTGTTCGAGTACGAGTTCCAGAACCACAAGTACAAGTTCATGTTGATGAGGGACCGTGCAAGTGGTGTGGCCATGGTTGAGCTTTTCAAGAAGTACGGCGGCGCTGAAGGCCCACCATCATGGGAGCCAAAGTCTGAGGATGTGATTCGCATCTTTGGCCGTTGGATGATGTTCTACCCTGCTCCCAAGTGGTTCCTGACAGATTCAGCGACATATTATACGTCGCAGCTGGTGATGGACTATGCTGGACGTTCTGGCATCGGCTTGTTGACTACGCCTGCTGAATCTCATCAAATGCTTGGAGCAGAGGAGGGTTGCATTCGCATCCTGAAGTCGACGGCCGACCGTCTTTTGAAAGAAGAGCCAAACACTTCCGTTGAACTGGCCATGATCTTGGCAGCCCATGGACACAACCAGTCCATAGGACCTTCTGGATATTCACCTTTCCAATAGGTCCGAGGCTCTTCAGCACCTTTAGAGAACATGCCGATTGGAGTAGAACCCCGCAAGGCATTTGACGGCATGCTCAAGCTCAAGGAGAAGGCAAGAGTGGCTTTTGAGATGGAATCTGCACGAGTGCGACTTTCGAAGCTTGGCAACACAGTTCCTCAACCTGTTGCCTCCTTCAAGGCTGGACAGTTGGTGATGCTATGGCGGCAGAGGAACAAGCCAGGCAAAACGACAGGCACATGGATTGGACCAGTCCGACTTCTTCTACAAGAAGGCAACACTTTGTGGCTGGCAACCGGAGCAACTCTCATTCGTGCTAGGACGACTCAAGTGAGGCAGTGCACTCGTCGTGAGGAGATGAAGTCCCTGCTTGAGGGTACAGCCATCCTCAAGCTTCCTGTCACGTTGGAAAGTCTCCTCCAATCCTTCACCGGACGACATTTCTCTGATGTCACTGGTCAGGTACCTTCTCAAGAGCAGCTACAACAAGATCTTCAAGAAGCTGAGGTCAGACAGATGCCACAAGCTGTCTACAGACCAGACACGTGGAAGATCACAGAAGAAGGTGAACGTAGATGGCTCATCCGTGTGCACTCTCTCCCACGGTTGGCGATGTTCACACCATCACGGACTACATCATGCCCAGCAGCAGAGGATGAGTTGACAGGTCGTCGCGTTACAATCCTCCGAGGTCTTCAAGAGAACTCTGAACAGTTCGAGATCAATGATGACTACAAGGAGTCTGAAGACCCCAATCGCTCTTTGCAAGACCGCTGGGTTGGAGAGACCAAGTTTGAGATGAAGCAGTCCGTGCCCAAGCCTGGGCGTGAGAAAAGAGAGAAGCCGCTCCCTGTTGACACTGGCCAGAAGAAGTCCAAAGGAACCAAGGCTGGCACCAAGAGGAAGAGCGAAGCGGCACAAAGCAGCAGTTCCAAACGAGGTCCAGAACATGAACCACAAGATGAACAACAAGGATCCGTGCTGCCAGATGTGCCGGGAATTAGCCCGTTGACTACCGCCCTTCGAGACCGCGGTCCTTCCGCAGTCGATGGCGTTCCGGGCGTGCATGACAAGCCTCCGTGTTCCACATCGGAGTGCAAGCTTCCTGGCGGCCATAGTGGCCCCCACATGGATGCAGATGGCTCGCAGTTTACATGGTCCAAGCAAGACGGCCGTGTTGATGTTGAACCTCAAGCTGAGGAGCTCGAGGTCCCAAGTGAAGTTGAGTCCGAGGAGTCCGCAGCCTCTTCAGCAGAGCTCATGACTGAGCGAGAGATCCACTTGCTGCAGGACACCAATACAACCCCAAAGAGCAAGACTCCCAAGGAGGTATTCTATGCCCTTGAGATCGATGTCTCGGAGCCAGATCTGAAGTTTTTGTCGAAGCACCCTGCCAAATCCTCTATTTGGCTGTCTCGCAAGATGCAAGAGAAAGGACGAGAGCTTCGCTGGTCACAGATGACATTGGATCAGAAGCAAGAGTTTGACATTGCCCAAGCACGTGAGCTTTCCAATGTTCTCGGATCCAAAGCTTTGAGGTCCTTGTCAAAAGCTGAGTTTGCATCCTTGGACCCCAAGAAGATGCTCCAGATGCGATGGGTCCTGACCCGCAAGGCGTCGGGTGAGGCGAAGGCTCGCCTAGTCGTGCTGGGATTCATGGCGCCAAACATTGGCGAAGTGGAAACAGCTGCACCTACCATGGCGAGATTGTCCAGGAATCTCCTTTTGGCAATTTGCGCTAACAACGGCTTCAACCTACAGGCCGGTGATGTGACAGCTGCATTTCTACAGGCTGAGGAAAGCTTGGAATCTCAGGAGCTGAATGTTTGGACTCCGGCTGAGCTTGCAGTGTTGTTTGGGGCCGATCCGAACCATCCGGTTATGCCGGCTCGGGTCTCCAAGGCCTTCTACGGTTTGGTGCAGTCGCCTCGATGTTGGTTCAATGATTTGTGCAACACAATGAAAAGCATTGGTTGGGAGACAATCCTGGGAGACCGCTGCTTGTTCGTGTTGTTTGATGACAGTCGCAACCTGATCGGCATTGCAGGAGTTCACGTCGACGACGTGTTGATCGGTGGCTCAAGTCATCCAAAGTTCACTGAATCATTGCAAGCTTTGAAGTCAAAGTACACATGGGGCAAATGGGAGTCTGAAGACATGGACTTTGCAGGTTGTCACATTCGTCAAAGCCCAACCACCAAGGAGATCCGCATTGACCAGAAGGACTACATCCAGAAATGGCTGGATGAGATGGAGCTCGCCCCAAATCGCTCCAAGGAGGTGAAGTCCTACCTGACGGCCTCAGAAGTATCCCAACTCCGAGGTGTTCTCGGATCAGCTGCCTGGAAGGCCAGTCAATCTGGCCCTCACTATGCTGCAGACATTGGTTTGCTCCTGAGCGAAGTTCCATTTGCAACAGTACAGACAGCATTGAAAGCAAACAAGTTGGTTCGTGAAATCAAGCGCACTTCAGAGCAGTGTTTGATTTTTCCACATTGTGGATCACACTGGCAGGATTTGTCGATCATCACTTGGAGTGACGCTGGCCAACAAAACAGACCCGACAAAGGGTCGACGCTGGGAGTGTTGTCTGGACTTGCCCCCAAGGGCATTTTGCATGGCGAGGAGCACATTGTGGCAGTGTTGTCGTGGAAGTCGGCAAAGACACCACGCCAGGTGTTGGGAAGCAATGGAGCAGAGATCCAAGGGATCACAGAAGGCGAGGACAATACCTTCAAAATCAGGGCCATGTGGGCCGAGCTGCATGGCGTTGTGCTGGAACGCCATTCCATGTACCACCAGGTACGAGATTGCACGACAGGAGCAATCGTCATGGACTCAAGAGGCATTTTTGATGCCATGTCCAGGAATGTTTCAGCGCTTCACGGCTTAAGGTCGGCTAGGGCAGGATATGAACTTTCAATTTCTGTACAGCAAGCCCTTCAGATTTCAACAGCTCTCCGCTGGGTGAACGGGCTAGCTCAGTTAGCCGATTGCCTCACGAAAGGCAATGAACGCCGTTCCTTTTTGCAGTTCCTTGCAGCCGGCCAAAAGTGGCGCCTTGTAGATGATGAGAAGTTCACTGCAGGCCGAAAGCTGAAGAAGAAGGCTTTGCAAGAAGCCATTCGGCACCAGCAGGAATTTTTCGTGAAGGTTCTCGAAGGATGGTCCTCTGAGAACAAATGGTGCTGGGAACCCGCTTTGGAGTCCAGAAATGGGGTTGATGTGATTTCTGGACAGCATGGACCTAGCATTCATGACATGTGACGCATGGACTCCACACAGGGAACACCAGCACGTTCGTCGTTACCGCAAGGGCGGGATCAAAGAGCCAGAAAAGCATGCTGGCCGGTTGGCCATTGCGCCTTCGCGTCGTCGGTCGACGCAGTCCGTGTTCGGTTGTGCTACCTTCACCTATCAAGTATTGAGTAGGTCATGGGACTAGCAAGGCGCATGCGGCATTGCTGTTGCTGCTGGGGCACTACAAGCCACCAAGACATCGTTTGGCAGGAGCCTTGGGCGAAGAGGTTCGTGGGCAATCCCAGATTTGATGCTTTCTTTGCACTGGCTTCTTGACACGAAGAAAGAGCCTGGTGAAGCTCGACTGGGTGGCGCGAACTTGGCCATTTGGAAAGTATCAAGAGCCTCCTCAGCACCGCCGGATTTGAAGCACTACCCATGTACTAAGTTACGTGACATGGGATAATGACGGGTGTGTGTGTGTGTCTCTCCTTCTTTTCGAGGCATGATGCGGCGCAAACGGCCATTCACTGTCTTCAGCAAACAAGCAAGCAATGCCAGCAATTTCAAGTAGCTGTTTCTTCAGGGTGATCTTTTAATTTCACGTTTGTCATCGATCTGACAACTGCGTCATTGGCTTCACAGCATTGTCATCGGTCGCAACATTGTTATCCGTTTCATAAGATCACGGGGTTTGTTTCACAACGTTGCCATCCGATTTGGCTCACGTATGGGCGATCGAATTGCATGACCTGCATGGAGTAAAGACCCCATCTATCAAATAGGACACTTTAAACTCTAAACCAGAGGGTGCTTCTCGTTTTGCACGCCTACCCTACTTACCCTATACTAGATTGTTGAGTTGCCAAAATGGATGTTGTTACTGCTGATTTAGTTGCCCCAACAAGACGTTGCTTCCCCGACCTCCGCCCGGCTCCGTTTTTCGGCAGACCGGGTGGGCGGGGACCGAGCAGCACTACCCAGGTCCAAGGCCGGAGCCCATGTTCATCCTGGTAGCTTGACCTGCTGGTCGTCCATTCCCTGTCGGATCCGACGGTCGTCAGCTCCGGTCCGGCGTGCTCCATGGGGACCGAACTCGACACGGACCGACCGGTCGGGGCGACTTGAGGTGGTGATCACCAACTCCATATTCATCGGCGTGGACGTGCAGATCAACCCCTCTGCGTATGGGCTCAGGCAAACGCCCATCATGATTTTTCAGCCGCTCAGAGTTGGAGAGCTGGAGAGCTGGGAGAGTCCAACCCAGCATGGGTTTCTGACAGACATGGCCAAGCTGGAGAGCGTGGAAAAGACGTGTGATTTGGAAGACGTTGTTCACTTCCTGTTGGAGTTTTCAGAGCAATTTATATATATATATATATTATATTAAGATCTATTAAGACTGCTTTCCAACGACATTTGGTTGACGATTTCTTCCCAACTTTCATAGAGGGGCCCCTGAACCGCCACTGGCCCTGAGCTACTGCAGCAACTGATCGCAGCACATGGTCGGGGGCCCTCGTCCTACCAACATTAGTCCCCTTCCACGTGTTGGATGGGGATGGTGGTTTATTTGTTTGCGATGGTGTTCGTTTGAATCATATTGGATCCAATCCAAGTGAAGAGATGACCCATGATAAACTGGAGATGTGACAGGAACATTGACGAGGAAACATGAAGAATGCTGAAACACATTCAAACAGGAGAGGAACTATCAGGAACTAATTCATTTCCTTTAAACACGGCTTCGTGGATGAACAACTCCTGGTTTCAGAAGGGGGAAGCAAAAATTCAACCACAGAGGCACCCTATCAACCAACCAGCCTCAGCAGGAGGTTGGACAAATTTGGAACGAAATGGGAATGATATGAGTGCGGCTCCACTGCATGCGACTCAGGGGCATTTATACATTCCTTTTCACCTTAGAGTTGATCTTCCGCTTTGCGGCCTATGGGAAGCAGCTCTTTTGTGGATCTGAGTGGGCGTGCTTTGGCGGAGAAGCACCACTGGGAAGAAGTTGAAGGGAGGAGAAGCCGAAAAAGAAGTGGGTGGTGCGGAATTCCCTGGTGACACAAAGTATTCAATCATTCTTGGCATGGCGGGAGCAGTTGGAAAATGGCCCGAGATCATGTTTGGCATGTCATAGCCAGTTGAAAGTCATGATTTACACTTGAACTCTGACAGTGACGAGGGATTTGTATGACGAACGATAATGATCTATCACGAACGTATCACGAGCTATAATTACAGTATTTATCAGATTTTATCAGTAAAATAACGACATAGAGGATGCCCTGCCTAGTGCCCTGCATTCTTGTCATCGTAGACATAGACCCTTCTTTTTGTGCAGTCAGGATAGCCTGACAAAGCTGCAAACCTTCAGAAGGTCCAATGTTTTTGTCCAACTCAGACGGACATTCGACCGGTCGAATCACCGACACACCCAAACGTGGGGCCCGGGCCGCCAGCTGCCAAGTGTGTGTTACGCATCATCCGAACGGCGAACCTCGACAGGTGGGGTGCCTTGGATGTCTTCATCGTCTTTAGCTCTTGGTGGGAGGTCTTTGTGGACGTTTGGCGTCCTGGAGCGGAATATTCGGCGTGGTGCCGTTCGGCACCGACGGCGTCTCTGCGTGGGTGGTGGAAGTCTTGACATGTGCACAGCTTGCGCACATCACCAATTGGTGCAATGCCCACAGACTGTGGCCTAGATTCAGAACGGGGATTCCGGATCGACGAGCCTAAGGCGGGCATACTAGCCCATATCTCCCACGAGGACAAGCTAGATCAAGCTAGTAGCCAGTAGAGCTCAAGCAGGTGTGATATGACAGGCTGACGCGAGAGACGGACGATGAGATTCCCAAGCAGCATCCGAAAGAACCCCAGTGAAGATGAGAGTCTGGAATCCGCCGGGACGCTGCTCCGGGCTGCTATGGGTCAGCACTCTCCAGTGAAAGGAGTGCGTGCGGTCCGCATCGGGAGTTCAGCATGGAATTCCGATTTCATGGTTTGGGGAAGACACATCCTTGGCCAGGTTGGTTTTGGGGTACAAGAATGGTGCTTGGGAGAGATGACCAGTTCTACCAGGTCTTATTCTTTCGTGTCCCACTGGACTTGAGTTAAGTGAGGTATCTTGGACCTGGGTTTGGGGGGGGCACCCTGTAGTGACTGCACATGATGCTTTTGAAGATCCTAATGATTCCGGCACCAAGTACGGACACGGTCAGACTTCTGCAGGTCTGCAGGGGATACTTAGTGTCCGACCCTTCGAGGTTTTCCACAGTTTGGATGAACAAAACTGCAATTTGAGCCACAAAACCCCAGGCCGCCTAGCGATAGCACCAGACTTATGCAACCATACGCAACCCATGCCACCTCCGCAACATCCACCCCATCTCCAGACCCGACCCGGGCTCAACCCCTTCGTTCACGACCATCCCACTCTCGGCGCCTTCCGCCTGGACCGCACGCGCCACGAGTTTCGAGCCGAAGAGAGCCGCGCAGCCGCGCCATCCGCGCCTGGGCTGAGGTATATGCTCAGCCCGGACGAAAGTCAATTCGATTCCTTTGGAGGCTTAACGGGCTTGAAGGCGAGCGAAGCTGTGCTGCGGGCCATCGCCGCGAGTTCTGCGGGACATTCATGCGCACGCCTTGGCTGGGAGCCATTGGGGGGGTTGGACATGAAACGGTGCCGAGGGCAGTGGAAAAGAACGTGAAGAACCATGAAGGGCCCAAGGCAAACATTCAATTATTCTCAACTAGCCTCCCACAACATAACATATTGTTTTAGATATTTTTAGATGGTCTTTTTGGTAGCCCGGAGTTCTTTGCACATTTCAGGGTGCTTGTCATTTTCTCCGGAAACTCAACCAACCCAAGATTAGCGATGTTTACAAATATGGGAGCCCTCCAATGGATGCAAATGCTTGATTCATGTCGATGCAAATCGTGTATATATATATAATAATATAGCATATGATAATTTAATCATATTTAATCAAGTCATCCGTTCTCGGAGTTTCTAGAGACAACTAGCGCAACCTCACTGTTGCTGGGATGTTTCTCATGCTTTGGGTTTGGGCTACGGCTACAAGTACTTTGATGAGAACTATGGCTTTGAGGTCTATGTTTTGTCCCGCCTTCATAGAACCGCTCGAGTTGCATCTACTGTAATCAGAAAACATCAGACTGATGCACTGATGCATGGCTTCCTAAGTTCCTGCCATACCCGGATTTGCCCCCCTTTTTTTTGCCCACCGGTGGGCCACCACGTGCCCACCACGTACGTGGAGGCCTTCCGCATCGTCCGCCTGACGCGGATCGTGAAGACGGTGCGCCTCATGCGGATCTTCCGCTTCGTGGCCCCGGCGGAGAAGGGGATCCGCCCGGGGCCGTACCCGGACCTTCGTCCGGGTCCAGATGAGTCGATGACGGTTTTGTGTTGGTGTTCAAAGAGGCCTAAAGAGGCCTTCCTTGGGTGTGTCAAACATGATGATTGAGGCATGACAAGCATGCTGGAAGGCAGGTTTTGGCGCCTACATCAAGGAGATATAGGTGTTCGTTCAGTTGCTTTTTCCCAATTCGTTTGCCAAGACGAGAAGAGACTGAGACAGACCCCTCACCGTGGTGGTTTTCATCCACAGCTTGGGGTCTCAGCTGGTGGTTTCAAAGCACCGAATTCTTCGAACTCCCAACTCCAAGAGTGTCCTACCAAAAGAATTTGCATTCACAAAAACGCCCTTTTCCGTTTGAAAGGGTTTTGAGGGTTTGGCTCCCTGTGATGGAGGGTCCAAGGATTTATAGGGTCGGTATCATGCAACAATATGCAACATCGATAGGAGCCGCAGAAGTTCCAACTGAGCTTTAGGAGGCCTTCTAATCTTTGTGCACGAATTAGGACCAGACCAGTCAGCCGTTGAGGGCCTTTCTTCTTGCAGGACACCCAAAGTCTCAGTTGGCTACGAATTGGCTGGTTTATATATAAACATAATTAAACATATAAAACAAACCTGAGGGAACAGGTTTTCGTCCAGACTCTGGGCCTTTCTACGGGACGCTTTTTGGTCGGAAAAAACCGAGGCCTTTCACCGATGGTGTGAACACCCGCTCAGTCAACTGACTCCCAAACAGTCGGGGCCTCGACTGATCGGAGCCAAGGTCTTGGCCTTAAGGACCTTGATCCATTCGATCCTGCACACCCTGCAGCTCAGCTCAGCACGGACGCGTACGCGTCAACGGGTCGTGATTGATGTGTCGGGACGCGGCCCTTTTTCCCTTTTCCCCGCGGTGCGGGTTCGGGTTTGGCGGAGGTGTCAATGTTGTTTCCAATGGCAAATTCCAAATGAATCCCTACAAATGAATTCTGTAGGAGCCCTGCAAGTGAATTCTCTATACAGATACAGGTGATACAAGAGAATTGATTAATATACTGTGTATATATACGACATATATATATATATATCCAAGTGAATACCTATACAAGTGAATGTTCTACATGCAAGCGAATTCCCGCATTTTCCCTACAACCCCCTTGAACAGCCACGTTCGAAGGTTGCTTTACTCGGTTCCATGTGCCTCTTCGGGCGCCGGCCTGTGGTCCTTGAGGGATACAGCTCTCCTAAGCAAGTCTTGGAAAGACGGCATCATCATGTTTTTGGTAAATTGGTGTGAACCATCGGACCAGTCAGGTGCTCAAGTGGTGGATCTTCGTGGCTTGAAATTGAATCCGGTGCGTTGACGAAAAAGACGGCGGTGAATTGTTTTTCTTCGACGCCACAAGCACCGCACGCACGCAATTTCCCGGCCCAACTCCTACATGACTGGTGCGACTCGAACGTAGTGGGTCATCCTTTGCGGCTTCATATGACTTGGCTCGGCACAAGACGCGGAGCTGCTGCTGGTCGCTGAGGAAATCGCTCTTTTGGGCGCTGGTGCTGCTGGTCCTCATCGTTTCTTTGGCGGGAAAGGGCAGGGCCGCAGGCCTCCGCGGGAATCGAAACATCAAGAACATGGAGGAAGCGCTCGTTTTATTGGGGTTGTGGTGCCAGGCGTGTTTAGTTACTGAATCTATGAAGGATCTATGAAGTCTATCTAGGCGTTGGGCCCATGCATGGTGTACATCCGTGGTGATGGTGGTGGAGGCAAAGGTGTAGTAGCATGTTTCTCTACATGCGTTCTCAAAATCCTTGGCTGCGCTGCAGAGTTCATCATCTCTTTTAGTTCAGTCATGCAGCATGCATAATATTATGTGACTCCATGTGGCGTTACCAATGTCTACAAAACGCAAAAAAACTGATCGTTGTTCCATTACAGTACCAAGGTTTTCGGAGTTGCGGTTCATAGACTCAAAGTGAGTGAGTGAGTAAATGAGTGAGTAAGTGAGTTAGTACGTGAGTGGGAACACTTAATTAGTAGGCTCTTGATCAATCACCCCCGCGTGTAAAGAGGTGGTTCAGGTCAAATCGAGACCCCAAAAGCCCAGCTCCACGACGCTTCGGACCTCCAGCTCCACTCAAGTCGGACCTCACTCAAGAGGCCTTCAGGTCGGCAGTGTAGCCCAGGAGGTTCAGATTCATCCCAGGTGATTCACCCCTTGTAAGTGTTCATTAGTGCTTCATAGTTGGTTTGGTGAACCACGACGTTTGCCTAATGATTTGTTTACACAGATGAGTGGAACAATGTGGAAGGCATATATAAGTTATAATGTATTAGAGATCTGTAGACGTATCCATAGAGATTCCAGATCGATTCCCATATTTGCTAGTCCAGATATGTCCAGATCGGTTCAGGAGACGTACGCCACAAACATCGTCCCCGGCCTTTGGAATTTGGGGACCTTCCATGCAGAAAACCTCCGGTGACGGTTCAGGGTGACTGTGGGAGGCGCCAGCAGCTCCATCCTCTTCACGGGGCAACGCTGGGAAGCGTGAAGACCATGAGAGATGAAATACATCGATGAGTGACAACCAGGGTCATCCAATGGGTGTCCAATAGACTACCCTACCCTACTTACAGGTCTCCATTGGACTTACGTTGGAAGTGCTAGGAATAGTTACGATATTTTCTTCGGAAGGTAGGACTGGACCCTCCTGGCACCTACATAACAGTGTCTTCAATCACCGTACTCGTACCTGAGAAGGTACTTGGACCCCTATATAGGAGTGTATATGATATTAGTTATATGTTTTTTTTTGTCGTTGGCAGTTTGAGTCTACGGTCCTCCCAGCTTGCGTTGGCCCATCTGAGGTCTACGTCTTTGCGTTAATTTTTACCCAATCCGTGGCCGATCACCGCATGGAGTACGAGTTGCCTCCAGCTCATGACGAGGCGAGCAGATGAAGGAAGGAGCAACAAACAAATCCCAGACACTCCATATATGTCATATATGCCTACATTGGGGTGGTTTGGGGGGTCAATGTAAGCATATATGGCATACATGGAGTGTCTGGGAAATACTGAGTGGAAACCGCCCAACACGCCACCGGAACATGGACAGTGTCGGTACACGAGCCCTGGCGGAAGAATCCTGAGCTTTGGAAGTCGCGACTCGCCCTTGGGTCATGAACTTTCACCAGGAATTGGCGAGATTTGTACCCATGCCCCACCCAAAACTGGGCTCAACAAAGAGCACGACGCAAAAGAATATCCAAACAACGAAACAGATGGATGATAAAATATCCAAACACCGACACTGCATGAATGCCATGGTTGCAAACATTGAGGTGGTTGAAAAGGAGTCATGGGTCAATGTTGGCAGATATGCCAATCCCATGGAGTGTTTGGGTGTACTTCCCCTGGCTAAAAGCCAGTTTCTAAATGAACGACCCACATCTCAACATATTTGATGCTGGCGATGAATTTTTGACTGACCGCGGGAAAGTGTGACAGCTTGAGGAGCCATTTGGTTTGAGGGGGGGAGTGTCATTCAAATCGTGGCCTCAACTCACAGTGGAGCGAATGGGGTCAGCCAACAAACTATATAGCATCATTTAGCTCAGCAACCTCAGCTCGTTTCAGCCAGCCAGCTCCTTCACCCGTTTAAAAAAATGCATCCAGCAAAAACGGCCCAGAACATGTTTGACGTGCGCGGACAAACGTCCTTCACCGCCCCGTTCAACGGCGCGGGCAACCGTTTTCCCGCCGTCGAGCCGTGGAAAGGAGCGACCGGCGCTGTGCTCGATCTCCACGCCAGGCCAGCCTGGTCTACTTTGGCAGTTTGCTCACCACGATGCTCAGCCTGTCACCTGGCGAAGCAGCACATCCAAGACGAGGCAGAGCACATTTGGCCGGGCCGACATAGCTAGGAAGAAGCGCAACAAATGGTATACTATATGACTGTGGTTGTTGTCCTATCAGATCCTATATATATAATAACATATGCACCCATATATGATCATATAGGGTATGCAGTATGTGGTGCATGCTTGTCGAGAAAAGATATGAACATTCAAGGTCGGGCAGCTTTCCAGGTAGCTGTAGTGTTTGCTTTATTCTTTGGGTCTTCCAGCCCCGTCCAGCCCTGATGGTGCCTCAGTGTTGGGACTTCACGTCCTGTTCACTGCGGAGAGGCTGGGAGGTCGGAGGTCAACGCTCGAGGAGTCGAGGACATGGTGGGTCTGTTGGACCCGTTGATAAGTAAATCGCAGACACTCCATGTCTGTCATATGCCTACATTGACCCCTCTGGCACCACCCCTATGTAGGTAAATATGACAGTCCCATGGAGTGTTTGGCAATCATATGTAAATGTCTCATTCGGATTCAACAAATTCCGAAATTCAGTGTTGCTGTTGGACACGATGATCGATGAGTCGATCAAGCGAGAGTGCTTTCCGGTTCCTTCGCCTGGTTGGCTCAATGAGAGCCCGGTGGGCAGAGAAGACCCTAATTGCTGGAAGCCTTGGAATATCTAGATCTAGATTGTTGTGGATTCGTCATGATCAGTCCATGCTCTCCCAGATGGTCCTGTTTTCTGAGAGTGGGTCAGTGCCTACTCAACTGGCCTGAGAAGAAACGAACAACCTTGTCTATGCCTATGCTTTATTAGGGTGATAGTTGGATTAATTTGGTATCTCAATCACCTTAAGGGTTTCTATCAACTCAATCAATTCTCCCGGTTTCGCTTCAATGGTCCAAGCGGCCCGCATTCCGGGGGGAAAGGTCTCACTCGTCATTGGACCGGTCTTTGCCTGCGCAGGTGACCCTCAAAGCCTTCATGACTCGGTCGTCAAGCCGTTCGTGCAGCGTCCTGAGGTTCATGACCGTGACGGACGGCGTGAGTTGGGAGAAGGTCATTGCACCGCTGGAGGCCATCTCCCCGGTGTGGCCCCCTGACCCAAACGAGTGCGCGACGAGGGCCTTGGGAGAAGCGACGCGGCTGGCCTGGACCACGACATATACGTAGGCCAGACCAGTCTCCAAAAGGGTTCCAGAGAAGATGGACCACTTTGAATCATTATCCCAGAAGGTGGATGACCTTGTACTGTTTGGAGCTGACGACCTTGTACTTGACAGCTTTGAACACTCTGAAAAGCACCGTTCCTTCGCAACTTCGCACATCGCCCAGAAACCGACCGAAGGCAGGTTCGGACCGAAGGCACCTGAGATCCTTCAAAACCGCCCGTGTGACAGCTGAATGGTCAAAATCATGTGCGGCTGGCCTGGTTTTCATATTGGCCAAACATCAGCAAGAGTTCCATGGCCCCGTGCGTCGTAGATGGCAAAACATCAACCAGTTCCGTTGTGAAACTTGAAAGTTGTCCGATCAAGTTCCAAGCATGTCCGATTTGTTTGTGTTAAGACATGTTAAGACCATGTTCCTTGTATGTCAGCGCGTAGCGCTAATTGTTCGACCACACATCAAACACATCGACCCTTCTGAACATGATACCGACCTTATTAAAGCAAAACGGATGGTCGTATTGATAAACTCAAAGCCCTAACCCCTATAACATACTTATTAGTCAATGTATGTCAATGTGACAGTGCGAGCCCACCTCACATGATATATGTGTGTTTCCCAGTTTTTTCCCGTAGCATGCTCCTACTAAGAAGAGTGGCTATGCAAACTCACAGTAGCCCCCCGCATTCTTTCACTGCTTCCAAGCTTTCATTGAATCAACCAGTTCGGCGGCATCACGGCTGCGCCCTGGGCACTGTCAGCAGAGCTTTGCCCCCACGTAATCGAACCTGAGGACTACCGGGCTGGCGCCGGTTACAGACGGCAACATCCTCACCCATCGATCTGGTAGGGCGTTCCGGTTGAGTCCCTTCTGGGGACTTCTTTTTTCCTCTGAGTTCTTTAATCTATATCCCAGACACTCCATGGGACTGCCATATATGCCGATCAGTTGGGGTGGTTGTCAATGGATAGGCATATATGGCAGTCCCATGGGCCGTGTCTGGGTATTAATATATTAATCTATAATCCAAGCTGACGGTGCATGGCACTTCCACGATGGTGCTTCTTCGGCCAAGGGCCTTCTTCTTCCTCTTCTACGCTCCTTGGAGTGGCCGGGGTCGACGGGTGGGCACTCATCCCCTGGAGTGGATGGGCAAGCCTCATGTTCCGCAATGAGTTCTCGGAAGGCCAGAACAATCATATGTATCATCCCAAAGCCGCAAACCATGTGTCATAATGCATGTTAATGCGTTTTCGTGTCTAATGATATGGCAACATATATAACTGTTGTTATCATGCAGGATGTATGAGTGACTATATGTAACGATGTTGTATTATAGTGTATGTATATATATAAATATATGCCGTTAACATTGGTGTTTATCAATTGCCATTCATTTTGAATTTGAGGTTCAGCACCCATCCATATCCGAAGCTGTGGCGATGTTTCAGTCTTTCACCCGGCAAGACTGCACAAACCGGTCAGCCCTACTAATCTGGTGTTTTTTTCTGGCAACTTACTCTCCCTCACCGCATGGACTTGCAGCTTCTTAGCTTGGCCATCCTAGAAAGCCCAGAAAGCATCGGCCGTGCCTCGTCTTCCCCTTTGAACTGGAAAGCATTGCTCCATCAAATCATGCAACAAGAGGTTCACTGCCTGCAGCAGAAAAAAGATTAAAAAAGCGTAGATCACAGTGGACGGTTTTAATCCTTGATCATCAATCAATTACACTTGAAATATGGGTCTTTCTTGAAGAAGAATGAACATGTCATGGGTTAGTTTTGCTTTGGATAAATCTGATAACACCTTCACAATTTTTTTCTTACTTGGATGATGCCCAAACTTGAATGAAAGATGAAAGCAGAGGCTGTCACACCTTCACTCTGACTTGGTTTCACGTCTCGCAGATTTCTATATGTGCCGAGTCTTCTACGACCTGCGAGGTAGCCTTTACCTACTTCGCGGTATTAAATGTCTTGACCGGCGTCTTCTGTCGGGAGCTTATCGGGACCGAGGAAAGAACGGACCAAGTGTATGTGATTTGGGAACCGATTGAGTCACGAACAGGCCCTAAACAGGCACGAAGACAGTGTGTTTGGGACCGAGGAAAGGACTTGAAAGTGTGTCTTGAAGTCTTGAAGTCTTCATCCTGTCTTCGTTCCTGTTTGGCTCACCTCGCCATTTTCCGGCTCACTCCGAAGGCTTCGCGCGAATGCCCGCGAGTTCAGGTCAAAGTGCCATTGAAAGCGCGCAGAACGATCACGCCACAGCGGTGCAGTCGATGATTGCCAATAAAGAGGCGCCGTGGTTGTTTGTTTTGTTTTTCCGCTTTTGATTGTTGTTTAAGACGTTTTGGTTGGTGCAAGCATGCACAGAACGTTTGTGATGACGCGTTTTAGGGGCTGGAGTGGTGGGGGTTGGTGAGTTGGACGGAATTTTTTCCAATGCCATCAAGCCTTTCGGCATCGGAAGGTGACATGTGTATACCTGCTGATTTGAGGAATTCCCTTTAACCTCCTAACCTGAATGACTTTCATGACTAAGAAGGCGACGCTCAGCGACGCATCGGTCTCAGGCCAGTTCTTTCTACGGGGACCGGACGGTCGGGGGGGGTTGGTCCCAGGTCGTCGATGTAGGGCATCGCACCAGGAACGAAGTCAGCAGGTATCGCTGACTGTATGCTGGCGACCTGGATGCCCCCCAGCATGCGCTGGTCCAGCCAGCACACCGGTTCCCAGTACTTATTGACATCATCTATACGATAAGGGTTGTTTTGATGTTGTTTGTGTGTTTGTTTCTTTTTGTCCCACACCTGCCAGGTGAGGGTTGTTAGACTTATCAGAACTGTCCTCTCCCGTCCTCCTCATCCTCCTCTCGTCATGGTGGGGATCCGGGATCACTCGAAGTTTTCAATAATTTCCCGAGCATGTGCTACATTGCACAGCCGCCATGCTGAACTGAATAATCCGAACTTTGAAGCTTCCCAGAGCCAACTTGCGGTGCCAGGTTACATGGCAGCTTCGGGTGTCACTGTTAAACATCTACTGAAACTGAAGAATCAACTGATTTCTTTTAAGCACATGTCCTTTTTTTCTCTTCATATCAGAGATTCACCGAAATCTCTGAGGCCCTTGGTCTGCATTCTCTCTACGAATTCGCCCCGTCAGCCGGGGTTTTTGACATGTTCCGAAGCCGGGAAAATCGGAGCACCATGGAACACCTGGTCGATTGGGGACAACCCCACCCCCAAAAACCGAATGGCTACAAAAAGAAAAAACAGCTTCCACCTCATGGATGTTCCAGATGAAACTGTTCAACGGTGAAGAAGACACAGTCCCGCTCGGGCGTCCGGTGCGCCAGGCACATCTGACGAAGGTCCGGCTGCTCTTCAACCAGCTGGGCAGCGACGAGAACTCGGTGATCACCTTCCGGCAGCGCCTCGGATCCATGGTCCGGCGGATGGGCGGCCACAAATGTTCGGACGGCATATATAATATATACCCTACAAGTCAGTCTGACCTCATTTTACTGGGGATTGTCATACAAAACCAATACTTAAGGAGATAAAATACCAGATTTTACTGGGTCTTTGGACTTGTGTGGGTATATATATATATATGGCCCAATCATTGGTTTTGGGTGGTGAATCATATGGTACGATGGGGATTTAGATGGCTTTGGTATGCTTTGGTCGTGTTACACAGCGGGTCCAGTTACCAGCTTTCAAAGGAAACCTGTGGTTCCAGAGGCTCACTATTATAGACCAAAACAGCTGAGAGGTTCAGGGGTATCTCTTAACCATCCCTTAGGGAGTCCTGGTATGGATGGTTTGGGAAACTTCGGGACGATGCTTCCGGATTTTTTTGGATTTATAGGACCCTTTCTTGACGCACCGGCTCCGGGTTTGGTCAGCCATCGGTGGAACAAGTGGATGGTCGAATGGTCAGCTACTTGGGGGCCAACTCTTACACGGAACATGACAAAAAATGGAACATACTCCTACTGTAGCGCTTCCAAGGATTGCCCAATGGAGACCTGTAAGTAGTGTGGAGATATCCATTGATGACGACCCCTTGGAAGCAGCTGGCTGGAACTCTTGACGTATCTACAACACTGATGGAATCGATTTTGTATCATTGAGCTCTTGAATGAACTATGGCCCAAACTAGCGTTGGGGATTTGAGACATTGAGACAGGAGTGAATGGGGGAAGCCAAAAGCCAAAGTTCCAAACATGGAAACTGCCAGAGTTGTGTTGAAAGATGATGTCCTTTGCTGGATTGGTACTTCAGTTTACCGCATGATGACAGTCATGATGACATGTTCTTGTCCGATGGAGTCAGTTGCCGAGCTGTTTGATCCAGTCACCTTGTAAACAAGAGATCTTGATCTGACCTAGGAATCCACTGTAGTCCATAGCATTGGGGTGGCCTTTCTAGTCAGATTCATAGCCGGAACCTGTAAGGCATGACGTACTGCCCCCGGTCGCCTTCGTCCTTTTGCGTCCATGTCCCCGTCGCGCCACGCCGCCGTCGGTCGAGGTTCGAAGAGAAGATCAATAGCGACGAAGTGCGAGAGTACTTCGAGACATTGGGCCACTCTGGCGGACTGGAGCTTGACGTGTTTTGTGGTTTTTCACCGGTTGGTGGGGTTGTTGTCTCCTGGCGGCTTGGGAGCAGGTGTTTCTTAAGGTCTACTTTTTCTTCGGTCCGAGCTGGGTTTTTCCCCAGCTCCTGGGGAGATCCCCAGCTCCTAGTGTTTGAAGATGTGTCCCAGCTCGACAGCAAGTCCAAGGCCTTGACGTTTGGGACGCCTGGAGCTTCTTCAAGCTTTTGGATCGAGTGCCTCAGCTTAAGCGGCGCTGAAGCGTGCCCATGCGTAACGCTGACCAGCGAACTCGCTCACGCATAAACGCGTTGCGTAAACGTGGCCGGGGCGGAAGGAAGGGTTTCACAGCAGAAAGGGAAAGATGTGTGAACATCCGGTCCAGGGTGGGGTGGCTAGGATGTTGGGGGGTTCGATGATCTCGATGTGGTGCTTGGAGAGTGAGAGTGTGACTTCATTTCTTCCAAAGGGCGAGCCCCCATAGTTTTGGTGTAACCAGTCCTTTCCATTGAGCCACCATCCGCACCATCTCGAACCATGGTGACCCGAAGCCCGGCTTCGTGGCGTAGGTAGGTACGGTACGTGGCTTATCGATGTGGTGAGTGCTGACCATGACGGTTTGAAGTTCCGTTCCGATCGGTTCCTATGGGATTCCTACGATCCACGTTCGTGTCTCAGACTGATGCATTTGTTTTGCCCCAAATTGGAATGGTTGTACAATGTTTTACATCTCCATACCTGACCTAATCAACAGGTCAGATCCACAAGTTGAAGCGAGTTGGAGGACCTCACCCGTCAGACAAAGCTCCGAACTGAGCCGGCGCTTGTAGTCGAAAAAGCCACCCATTCAACCCGTTCGTCCAGGACGGTGGCGGCTCAGTCGAGATCGAAGAATTCTTGAAAGGCACCGATGCTAAAAGCTGCAGCAGGGATTGAGCTGGCCAGATAGGTGAAAAGCAGGTCATGAAAAGGGCGTGAAAAGCAGGTCAGAGATGCTGCCAGGTCAGAGATCCTGGTTCAGAGATCCTGCACACATCTTCATTTGCTTATGAAATGAAGATGTGTTTTCCTTAGACAAGGGCCGAAGTCATGACATTCTATAAAGACAACAGGTACTTCCCCATATATGGGGTGCAAAAATCCAGGTTTGTGCTAGAAGAGATGAGCCATGCCTTTGTATAATTAAATAAGAGTGGTTCTTAAACGGGGGAGGCCAGTCCTTCCAGATCAGAGCCAAACTTACTTTGCAAAAACCTGTAGTTATCCACATGCTGGCAGCAAAAAAACATGTGGATTAAAGCATTGCAGTTTTAAAAGAAAACAAGCTGGTGGTCATTGTCAGTCCGTAACCCCAAAACACATGAGGGAAGGAAGAAGCATGAAGGAGCCCTGAAGAGCGGCACCCGTGGATGTTATAAATTGATTCCCCAATTCCGTACGAGTCGAAGCAGTCAGCCAGAGATAGGAAGGCCTAGCAGTAGGCCTAGCTTATATATATATATATTCTTCCTAAGAGCATCCAAGAGCGCTTAGATGCGCCAAATGTGCTTCCGAACCTGCACTTCTTGTGGTGTGAGTTTGGACAAGGGGGCCGAGTCTTGCCTCAGACTACGCTGGAACACAGACGCTGGAATCAAACCACTTGACTTTGTACTGGGACTGCGTGGATCATAGATATGCACACACCTACACTTACCCTGTCAATTGGTCAATCATCCCGTAGGCAAATGGAGCCTACGACGTACGATGGAGTGTTTGGGATAAAAAAGAGAGTCACATCCCAGACACTCCATGTATGTCTATATATGCCTACATTGGGGTGGTTTGGGGGGTCAATGTAAGCATATATGGCATACATGGAGTGTTTGGGCATTGCTTTCCTGGAGCCTACGATGGTTGACCTTTTCAGTTTGTCCCACTCCGAGGACTCCGAGGATGAAAGATAGGCCTGGTGACCTCAAAACCACTCCTGGCACCGCTACTCGCCCCCCCCAACAAAAACGCACAGATCCTTGTTGTAGTTTACCCATACAAGTCGGCCAAAGAGTATCAACTCTTTTTGAGAAAGGCCTTCACCAACCTTCATCCACTCTTACCCAGGTATATTCTTGGAGAGAATTGGATGGCCCAGGATGCACCCGACTCTACCGGCTTCCGTGCGCAGCCAGGATGCCTCCGCTTCCGGGGTCAAGCGCGTGCCATTGACATTGGTCAGCTGATCCATGATCAGGACGGACGTGTTAGGATGCGGACGTGTCGGGAAGCGTGGGAAGGTGTTCCGCAGGGGTCGGAGGGGTGTTTCAGATTGTTTCAGGGCAACTGTTCTGAATTTGCTGATGACTTGGCTTTTAACATCATTATGTTTCCATCATGTTCCATTTATTGGATACCTTTGTGGGACGTCCGTGATCAGATTAGAAGGGCTCAAACAAATACATGTTTTTGTTTTGTGCTGGTTTGTTTGCAGCACAAGGGGTAGCTGACACTATCAACTCCTCAACTCCCTAAGACCTGCCTAAGACAGCTGTATTTGTTTTGGGCCATGGGCGTGTATAGGCACCCCGGCCCTGGCTGGGTAGACTGGTGTTCTTGGAACCGCGGGGGTCCTGGCCCGTATTTTAAACACACACCCGCATGAGGCTCGTCGGGCTCGTGCTCCGACCGTGCTCCCGGCGCGTCTGCCGCCGCGCGGAGTCCCCGCCGCCCGTCGCCGTGGGGACTCCGGGCGGCGGGAAGGGGCGCCAGGAGTGGCTGATCAAGAATCAAGGACGCTTCCAGACGTATATGGAGGTCCGGGATCTGTGACAGACCTCGCGGACATCGCGGACAGAAGCAGGGTGGGTCCGAGAACGGAGGTCCTTGGTTGAGGGTCGTGCGGTGTACTGTGCGGTGGTATTTTTCCCTTGGTGTTGGGTACCAGGAGAGACTCAGTAGGCCATCCTCCTTGGGCAAAATCAGCCTGGATCATCGAAGTCTTGGTGTTGTGTTTGAAGGTCCATAAGTCGTGTAGGTCCATAAACCAGCAAAAGAGAACCCTGACGGTAGCGGCCAGAAATCACCTGACCGCCGTGGGAATTGCAGTGGGGTCATCAACGACAACGCCAAGGACTACAGCAAAGCCATCCAGAAGAATATGAACAAACATCACTCGCACCAGCGCCGCAACCACACACCTCTCCACTACCCGCGCTTCCCTGCTTAATCCTGCCCACCTGTTAAAAAACACGGCCCCCTACTAAGGAAAACTTGGTCGTATTTTTTTAAATAAGGGGTCCCTGAAATCGGGGTGGTCCAAAATAGGGTCACCTGGGAAGAGTTTCAAAACCAAAAAGGCACGCAGGAAAATTTAGTAGAATCCTTTATATACTGTATGTCGATCGTATCAAACACATCAAAAAACCTCCAGATCGAAGGGTCTTCCGTTTCCCCTACAAAAACCTTTATTGGTTGTTTTTGGAACCCAATTAAACAAAACAAACTATACCCCCAAAATCGACCATGTCGGTAGTTTAGTAGCGGTTTTAAAGGGCGGTAATTTAAAGCAAATATACACCGTATTTAGGGTTTCGGACATGGTGTTTTTAATTGGGGAGTGTTTTTGAATAGGTACTCCGGATTCAAAAAGAACGTTACTATTGGCTGGTCCTCACCTTTGCCCGCACTCAACTCAGTTGGAGCTGGGAAAGCTGAAGAAGCAGCTCACTGCACTGAACCTCGCCTGGGGGGGCTGAGGATCTTTGGAGGGCTGTGGAGACGTAGGACGTAGGCAGGTCGTGACCATGCTTTGTAGGCAGATCCTTGGTTTGAGGGGCAATGATGGAGCTCCTTCACTTTCAAAGCTGCAGCCTTCCTCACAGCTTAGCTGTAGCTCATCAGAACGGGGTGCAAAGAAGCAGCAGCAGACTACTCTTCAGAATGTCCGGAGCCATTGTGGCAGTATCCGGTCTCCCGTGAGCCGGCTCACGGGAGGTCACGCACAAGAAAAGATAGCAAAGCCTTCAAAAGTCTGATCATATTGACATTGTTGTCACGGAGGATTAACTATTCACCATTCTATCAATTAGACGCTGGCATCCAGATGAGAACCAGAAGATTTGATGATAGAATGTTGTAAAGTGTGTCTCAGGTGGGACCATTGGATGCTGCCTTTGTGCAAACCTCCTATCAACCATTATCAACCTATAGTTGGCAACCTTTTTTCTGTTCAGCGTGGATATGATATGCCCAGATGATCTCTCTTGGGGTGCCATGTAAGAGTCATATGGTCATGCTGGTGGTCAACCCTTGAAACCGGGTCAAACCTGCCGCCCAAAAGGGTCCAGAGCCAGAACATTTGGTCGAAGGGGATCGAAAAACAGAATGCCGCATGGGCAAAACAATTTTTGGACTTGAATCTCGCATGACATCGAATTTCTTCTTCTTGTTCTTCAATGGGTGCAATATGACTGTGACATGCGATGGCCAACATTCTCGTAGGCTGGGAAGATGTCTCAAGTCAATGTTTTTGTGATAGGAGGGTCCACCCCCCTGCATGGAGGCTCCAAGACAAAAGCTGAAACTGCCACATTTGGTCACCGTTCATGGACATTCCCTTAAGTCTCCTTCAAGCACTTCAAAATCCTTTCCTGTGCTCCAAAAATGATTGAGGTAAATGGATAGAGAGAGAGAGAGAGATAGAGAGCTCCAAAAGATTCCAAAAGGATTTCAAACATAATTTTGTTGTTTCTACATGTTTCTACTGTGTGTGTGTGCTTCCACGAGTGCTCGTGAGATTCATGAAGAGTGCTTGATTTTGCGGTTGAGTCATTCACATGCGATGAGACATGCGGTCACGTGCTCGTGTGGTTTCACTGGGGGCAACCGCTGTTGCTCCGAGGACGGCCGTCTTAGCCAACGTCCCGGTGGCCTTCCCTGAGTCGCCCAACCTCCGCGACTCCCCCGGCGTGGGAGCAGCGCGCGGAGCACCGCCGGGGGGTCTGCGCAAGGCCTTGGAGGAGGCACAGGGATCGATCGGAAGAGCTGATCGATCGATCGATCGGGTTCAGATGGACCTATAGCGGTCCGTTGGATCCATGTCGACGGATGAAAAAAACACCCCACCCCCTCAAGGTCAACAAGGTTTGAGATGGGTGGTGCTGAGGTGCTGGAGACCACCATCCCCGTAATAAAGGTGATGACCGATGATGGATGATGAGATGATGACCTGGACCATCCTGGAAGTGATGACGGGTGATGGTTGATGGGCTTTTGTGCACAGCATGTGTGTGGATCATGAGAGGTTGAACATGATTGAACCATGAGAACCATGAGAGCTCTTAGTGGATCAGTTTCACCATGGACCAGAAGATATTGGATACTGGTCAAAATGAAAGATAATGAAAGTAAATATATAATTGTTATTAATTGTTGATAGTAGTAAACTATAGTAAACTATTATGTGTTTTTATGCTTCTGGGGCAGCTGGGCTTGAGTAATAGGGGGAGGTTTCTGGCAAGACAACAGTATTAGGGTGATGTCAATGTAGAAATCTAGGAGGTTGGTTAATCCTAAGATTAAAACATGGGAACGACCTGGCTTTGTAGCGTAAAACCATGTGAAACCCTTAGTAGAACGATGGTGCTTCGGTGGGTTTGAAATGGATCGGCAATCAGATGTAATCGGGTAGTGATAGGAAATCCAAATATAGCTCCTCCTACAGAAAAGTGTCTCCAATCACCTTCTCGGAGGTGATGTGGATCCATAGGGTATGGTCATGTTTATGTTGGACCTTTACTTGGGATGACTGAACCCCACTGACTCGTATGGTTCGAGTGGAAACCACCAACCAGATGTGCAACAATGTGCGAGTGTTGTCGATTGTGACCGAAGCAATCCTTGGAACGGTCAATTGACCAGTGCGTGGATTTGTTTGGCATGTTGCCGTGCTATATATATATATATCTATATATGTATTTGAAGGTTTGAGTGAGCAATCGCCTGATTGGGAGGAGCTTCCAACTCTCTTTGGGATTCTTTCGCTTGGCCGAAATGACAGGGGTTTGAGCTCGATAGCGAGATGGTCCGCTCAGTAGCTGAGGGCTTTGGGCCTTGGTGGCCTTGTCCTTGAAACGGAAGTGGACCACCTGGTCACCCGTTGGGAAAACTCCATGGTCAGTCTTTGGGGGGCCATGCCCATGTTGGAAGATGTTGGCTCTCTTTGGTTTGGGCCTGTCCTGTGAAACACCTCCATGATTCAGCAAGACTGCTTCAAGACATAGATGTGTGGAATCACGTTCTTACCATCGTCCTCCCCACGGTGCCGGGGTCCTAGCAAATGGATTTCCAGGTGTTCCACGCTGCACGTGAGGCGGTGGCGAACAAATCACCCCCGCTGCTACCTGACGCGCCCGTGAAGGAGCCATCTCGAGCAACTTGGAGAAAGCACAGCCGATGAGTTGCTCACTTAGAGTTGGTCCAACTCAAGTACATAGACCATTGCAATAAAGGCCATACCGGAACCCTTCGGAGGTCTGTTTGGAAACCCTACGGTGCGGTGGTTATGATGGTTTTTGGGCACCTGTGGTCACCATGAAACACCTGTTGGAGCCTCGACTGTCAGAGGCTGAGCAGGGATATTTCTTTGCGATGAATTGTTTCGTTTTCGCGCGAGTCTTATTTGGACCCTGTGGGTCCCGAACTCCAACACAAGAGAAGCCAGCCGATTTGTTTGGGAGATGTTCTTCCCTTGCTCTTTCAACTCATAAGTAAGTCTTCGTGATCATTGTGGGGACTCGGTTGCCCAGGTGTGTGCATTTGGCGTACCTTCGAGAGAACCATATTGTGATATTCTGAGAACCTCACACTGCTTTGTGGTCCCAATATATATATATATATATATTAACGGTGGGAAGATGTACTGTATTACTCTTGGCCCAAGCTCACGACGGTACTACCAGTCGAACGTGTTGTTTTCCGAAGACGGATCAACCCCATGCAAATCCAGAGGGGAATCAGTTGGAGTCCGTCAGGGTTTGCTGATTTTTGCTTCCAATCTGCCCCAGAGCTGATCGGAGCGACGACGACCGCCACCCAGGTCAGCTTGGAATAGTGGATAACCACAACGAAGTCGTGTGTGTGGGTGAACAAAGGCACTGGCTCCGGAAGACAGGGACAACAAAAACAGCAATGACCTCAGATTTTCCTTGAGACTATTGAATATTAATCACCCAGGCCCAGATCTTTTGGATGTATGATATATGGATGTCCTGAGACTTAAACACTTACTTCTCAGGTCCCTGCCCTTCCGTGTGCAGGAGGTTTTTGTGGTTCTGCCTGGCCGTATGATCAGGAAGCTGCAGCGCCAACAACGCGCATTGGTGTGTTTTGGCTAGAGCGGAGAGACCTCAGAAATCAGGTCTCCAGCCGCAGCCGCGGAGGATACCTGAACCACCGAAGGTGGTTGCAGAAAAAGGATGACAGATGATGAGAGTCCGGAACATGTGATCTATAGAGTCCACACAGATAATATGTTGTAATGTAACATAAGATTCTAATATATATATATATATATTTATTTATGTATTTTTATTTATTTATAACTATGTATGGTCACGGGCGCACTGGTCGCTTGGTACAAAATGAGGCCTGTGTTGTAAAACCCCTTGTAAACGGAGTGTTCATGGAGCACAGTTTTAAAAAAAATGCAGGTTCAAACACTAGTCGTTTTCATCAATGCGGACCGCGTATGTTTGACTTTTTATCGGCCACTGTCTCGGATCACTTGCATCAGAGCTTCCAGCACATCTTTTGGCGCTGACTTTTTTGGCAGTTCTCTTCAAGCAAACTGCCAGACTCGTCTTTCAATGGCTGGGTTATGCACGGATGAGCCTCGGCAAGTGGGTAGGAAGGAAGCCCTCCTGCTCCCATGGAGTCACTTGGCCCTGACGGTGTCCCCATGTGGGACATGGGTGGACGCGGCGATTGTGGTTTTAGATGCTTGAGTGCTTTCCAGGCTTTCAGGAACAATAAGACCAAAGCTGAGATTCTGGAAGGAACATTGAGAAGGTGGCGCTCAGTCTTCGAACAAAGACCTCCTTGTTTCTTCCGAACAACAATGTTTGGCACAGAAGCTGGTTCGCTGACCCCGAGGCCACAGAGGTCAACGAAGGGGGTGACATCCCGACGAACATCACTTCGTATTTGGCTGCCTGCAAGCGTCTGAGGAAGTGGTTTGACAATTTGAATTGTATGGCAGCTGCGGAGGTCCTGCGTTATTGTCTTTATCTTCAGAAGGTTGTTCCCTTGACGTTAAAAGCAAAAAGCCGATCCCCTTGTGGTCACTTTACCACCTTAGATCCTATGGTCTCTGTTCCTCATCGCTGCATGGAATACCTTCGATCCCAAGCAAATTGGTCCGTTCCTTTCTTCTTCGGGGGGGAAGCCAAGAGCATCGGCTCACAGCAAATCCACCATCAAAAAGAGTTCTGTCAAAAGTTCTGATAACGCCAGTTTGAGTCTTGGCTTAAACCCCAATCTTCTAAGAAGGGTTTCTCCTCAGTCCAGTCAGGACTCTTGGTTGAAACCTGAATCTCAGTGCGATAATTGCATCACGCAGGACTTGGCGGGTTTGGATGAGCATATTGCTGATCCCAAGATTCCCAAATCGGTGCTCTTTTGGGATGGCACTAGGTATGTCAGCCAGCCCAATCGACGGCGACCTACTTGTAGGTTTCTTGGTAAAAAGCCGGTGTTTCAAAGCAGTTCTTCTCAAGGTCACCAATGGTTTTGTCCCGAGTGTTTCCTTGTTTTAACTAAAGCGGACTCGAAAAACTCACTTGCCAAGAGAGACGCCAACGACCCCCTGAGAATCCCGCGATTGGCCCTGGGCGCAAAAGTTCCTTGCGCGCGTTGCGGCTGAAAAACGGATAAAATGGTGAAACCTCTTCATGTTGCCACCCTGGCCGGGCTTCGTGGGGTTCGGGTTGGTGAAGCCCAGGTGCCCGGGCCTCAAGGCTCGGAGGATTCTTTTATATTTGTTATAAATACCCAGGGCGCACCTGGAGGTTGGAAAACCTATGAAGAGAATTTGTTCGGTGCCCAGGTGGTTGCCTTTCAAGACATTGGGATGTCTGATGCTGAGTGGGCTGCCTTTGCCCGCTGTGCGGGCCGGCGGCAATTTAGTTGTTATAGACAGAAAGGTTCGGAGACGCTTGGACACTGGGGTGAGACTAGGCATCGTGGTGGTGTGGCTTTCATTGTTCACCGTTTGATTCGTCATTCGATTTCCAGGGGCATTTCCTCCTTTGACGCTCAAATTGGTTTACTTTCCTTTGAGAGATTCATGAATTATTTTGCGGGGCTTTAATGAAACCCCTTCGGGAGATCTTGGTAAGCTTTTTCTTTCACAAGGTGCTGCTCATATGGGCCCCCCGCGAACACGCCGACCAGATGGAAAGGCTCTGCTTGCATAGATTGGGCGGCATGGACATCCAGGAGGATGTGGTGCTCAGTGATCACAAAGGCTTCAGGCTCTCTTTGAGTCATGATCGAAGCGATGTGTGGAAAGGTCGACTCAAACCGGGACCTCGCTGGTTTAAGCCGGATGGTTTGGCCACAGCTCTCTCAAGTTTGGGCCTCAGACGTTGTGGGGTGCAGTGCTTATCGTTCCTTGGTTAGCTCCTTGGATGTCAACGAAAAACCGTCAAAAAACACAGGTTCAAACCCAGTGGGATCTTTTCATGGACTGCTTGTGTTTGTGTTTGTTAGGACTCCTGGTTTTCTTTTACAAAGCACCACTGAGGAGGCTCTCAGGGTTGAATTGCTGAAGCTCAAGCGTCAGTCAGGGCATGCAAGAGATCTTAGACCGGGTGAACAAACTCAGATTGAACCGTCAGCTGGCCAGATGTTAGGCGTCTAGTGGCGCCTAGTCAAGTTGCAGAAACCGATGGATCCAGGAAGGTTGGCCAAAGTTTTTGGGCCGGATTGCTCACATTTTACAATTCCTGCCTTAGATGAATGTGCCGCGGCTCGCATTAAATCACTTCAGTGTGACTTGGGTAAGTTGCAGAAGCACAAAATGGACCGGCGGTTGACTCACTGGAAAACTCAAATGAATGATCCGTCCTTCAAGAATCTTGGCAGGTGGATACGTGCTAGAGAGACGTCTGCGGAACCTCTATAAGGAGATCCTCACTAAGGAGGGGGAACCTTTGGAACATCGCTCTAATGTGACCAAAGCTATTTGTGACTTTTGTACACAGGTCTGGAGTAGCAGTCGGGCGGAAGCTGGCACAAGACTTTGATTCTTCGGGTTTAAACCCTGCTGCTCATGTTTGGGAACCTCTCAAGTTAGAAGAACTTTGGGCTTTGGTGCAGCATGCCTTTTCGACCGCGTCAAGGTCTTTTTCCGACTTACTCAACGGGGGGGGGAACGGGCCAGCAGACAAAGGCCAAGAATGGGTTCCTGGGTGTTGAACATGTTCGACCGATTTCGGTCCTTTCAGTCTGGCGGAGGTATGCTGCCGCTATGGTGGGAACTCCCAGTATGAGGAACTGGCGCAAGAGCTTTCTTCACCCTGCGGTTTCGCACGGGGTGGTGCTAAGGGCGCTGAGGAGATGATGGCGTCGTCCATCCAGGAGGCATGCTCGTTTGCTTCAAGTCGTGCCTCTCTCGTGGCCCCTGATGGTCAAAGCTTTTCAGACCTTCTATATTTCGAAGGCACTTTTTGGGGGATTTGGTAAGTGGCCCACCCATAATACAACAAATAAGTTGTTAGGCCGGCTCACGGCGGCCCTGGCTTCTTCTCACAGAGCTGCCAGACAGCTCCGCAAGCTATCCTACGGGGCAATTACTTGCCTCGGTATGGTCGTTTGCAACGCGGGGTGCGGCCCAGGTGGCGGGCGCCGCCGCGTACCGACCTCAATTTGCTGAGAAGAAACTTAAGCTGCTAGAGCAAGAACCTTGGCTGTGGAAAGCTCCTAGGAAGTGTCCAGGGCCTCCGGGTGCCTTGCCTGCTGGGTTGGAGCTGAGGGAAGATTCCCGTCACAAGCGTAAAGTGTTCAGATTTTCTGGCCTCTAAGAGGCGTGACGTGACTTCGCTGAAGAGTGAACACTCTCTGGGTCAGCTTCGTCATCTCATGGTTCAGCTGGACCTTAGGAGTCCAGCCGCTATTGGGGCTGCTTATAAGGAAAATGAGGACCAGCGGTGTCCTTTCTGTGATATCACATTGGTACCCTTCATCACTTGATGTGGGAGTGGCGCGCGAAATCCGAGACCTCCTTCCTGAACTTCAACAAATTTGTAGATTTGAGCAACTCTTTGACCTTGCGTCTTGGCTGGATCGTTCATTATGACATCTCGGAACGGTGTTTGGCGCACCTGGCGCGAACCCTCCAGAAAATCTGGTGGATAGGACATCCAATTACAGTAATTTTCTTACTTGTTAACGTTCTGCTCCTCTAATTGGGGCGCTCCCACCTGAACCATTTATTAGGCCTCTTGGGGGGTCTTGGGTGGTACGTGCAAGTGCTGCTGTTCTTTAGTGGCGCTGCTGGCGGCTGCTTGGGCTGCCGGCCCTTCTCTTTTTACGCCTTCTGCTTGCTGGATGCTGCGCTGGCGCTTTTCGCGAAACAAGGGCGACTGCTCAACAACGACAACAACAATTCCTGCCACGAAATCTCAGCATCTAAGAAACGAAATCTCAGTCAAGAGGGCATTGAGGCTGCTGGCAGGATGTCGTGCGCGGATTGTATCGACTGCTCCCGTTACATGGCCCCTCAAAATTCGAGCCTTTCAATCTTTGGTTGTATTGTCAGCAAGATTGCCTATGGTTGGGTTGGGTTAAATCCTCAACGTTCAGTAGCGCTTTCACCACTTTAACTAAAATTGTGCATACCGGCACTGGGGCATCCCGAGACCTCCGCAATATGTTCTACGGGGCTATTGTTTGGTTGCCGACGGGTGCCGACGGTACTTCTAACGAGAAGATGGAGTCGAATGGTTCGTGCACTGAAGTCGCAACGTCCTTTGTACGTTTGGAACAGACGAACTCCCTTTTTCTCGGTTCATAGCCTTCGACTAGGTATGAAGAACTTGGGTTTCATCGAGTCTGAACCCTGGGTTTGGAAGCCCCCGACCAGATGGAGACATTTCTTCAAACAAAATGAACAATCTTTAGGTTTATC